CTTTTTAGCAACATGGAAACAGGGGGCTGGAGTATTTAGCTATTTTCTAAATGTTTCAGATTCCTCTCCCTAAGGACTTATCTGTAAGTGATCATCCGGGACTTATAGTACAGCTTTTAGGGCTACATGGCTCTGGCTTTAGCTCAGTATGAGGACCTTTTCTAGCTTGTTAGTGGTTATCTTTATTGGCGTAAGAATGGCTTGACGAATCAGGTATAGGACAGCCTCTACTCTTATGTGTATAGCCGTGAAGGAATTATGCCATTTGACAGGGGTTCCTATAACTTTTTGTGGAGTGAATCTAATGGCCCTAACTTGTTAGACGAACCTTTAAAAGGCTTCATAGTGACCCCTGTCTGCTCACCTTGGAAGTATTTTGGGAGTAATTAACCCGGACATAAGGGTATCACGACTCATAGTGAAAGTGTACAACCTGTGCAGAGTGTAAAACTGATATATCAGCCGTGCTCACGGTCACGAGTGGCCTTGGAACCCTTATGGAATAGATGAACACTAAGTATTATTTGTTTATGCTATTCATTAATCATGTTTACATTTGATCATGTGTTTTGCATTGGTAATTTAAACAACTTGTTGCTACTCTTAAGCTAAAATTGTGACAACTAAAAGCTAAACGCTGTTAAACCTGTGTCAAGCCTTTTGAGCCTCATGAACCCCGTGTTACACTTGTTGAGTACGGCATGTACTTATGCTTGTTTATTTTTATTACTTGGATAAAAATCACGGATGGGTAACGGATGGCTTTGGTAATGATGATTTTCCTGAGGATTACTAAACTTGTGGTCAACCAGTCGACGTCCCTGTGAAATGGAGCTTCCGCGAGAGATCTTTTATTATTTCCGCTATATTTATGTGATAACTCAGTCTTATTCGTGATGTAATAAACATTTGTGATGATACTATTCATAATTTGTTGGCTTATGTGTGTAACTGATCTCTAAGCGCACATAAAATTTTGTACTCCATTTTATTCTTAAAATTGGGTGTGACACAGGAACTGGAACCGGTGTCCTTGTGCTGAGCTCTTCGTAGTCAGCTTTTGTCTTTTTATGTTTCGGGCTCGTCGTCACTTGTCGCAAAGCATGAAAGGCCGGTCACCACATCTCGATCGTGCATGCGCTTGCACTTTTGTCTGACGGATCAATCGGTTCATTTCAATTTCAACAAACCGTGGTACCGGAACCCGAGCTGGAACCGGAACCGTTATCACTATTCGGTGATGAGTGATGAGTGATGAGCTCCACACTCCACCAGTCGATGTGAATATGTGACCCATGTTGCCAGCTCTTGAAATTTCATGCCGGTTCTGGTCTAGTAGCATGGAAGGGCTGCCCGTGCCCAGTCATAGCGCCTTCCTTGTGCTCGTGTAACTAGGGAATTACCCGAAATCGAAAGACCAAGAAAAAATTAATTATTTGAAATTAAAACTGACATGATCGAAACCGAATACTTCGTTCATAAATTCAGTCATGCAGCTAACCGAATTTGTTTTTGATATTTCAGTCTTAGGCTTCGGTTATTAACCCACAGTTAACTGAAATAGCTGTTATTATTTGCTTGATGATTAGGTGTTATATATCTGAACTTTCAACGACTGAATGTTTATATGTTATTAAGTGGCAACAACTATATTAGTGTTAGTGTTTGATATATTTATGTTTACCTCGTGATATTTTACTGTCAAAACATGCTTTTGAACAAAGAAATTGATGCCAAGATTTGTTGTCACAACATGTCTTAAAACTATTAGTTCGGTCTACATCGTAAATGAGCCAAAAGACCCAAACTAAATTGCTCGCTCAGTATTTTGCAATGTATTTCTAAATTACGAAATATTGAAAGAAAAACAAACAGATTTTATATAACTGTGTAACTGTGCGAGTCCAGGCTCATAGCACGAACAGCACCGTAGCAAACCCATTGTAATGTCTAAGGCCCTGTTCGCTTCGCTGAAATTTGGCTTAAGCTGATTTGCTGTGAGAGTAAAACATTGTTCGTTGCTGAAAAGTACAGCTGAAGTAGAGGTTGTGCTGAACAACACACATATGCACAGTAGTTTATACTCGCTCTCTCTAAGCTACAAGAAAATTGTAAACATTTACAACATCAAATAAGTTTAATTTAAGTCCACCATGAAGCAATTGGTATTATAGATGCTAGTATATTTGTTTTGTAAACTCAATTAAAGTGACAGAATTTTGACTCGACTAAGTACTCCCTCGATGTCAAATTTTTTGTTAGTTTTCTGCTAAGTCAAATTACTCTAACCTTGATCAATTTTATAGAAAGTTGCACCAACATTATCAGTAGCAACAAATTAATCTTATTATGAAATATTTCTTGATATTTCATATTGTATAGGTTAATATATTTTTGTATAAACTCAGTTAAAGTTATAAAACAATTAAATTGAGAAAAAACTGAAGAGGCCGCATTTTGCAAAGAATGGAGAACTTGTCTAGTACACATAGTGTTCATGGTAGTACTACTTTAGAAAGTTTACACCCTCCACTAAAGTAGTCGCTCTGAATGTGCCCTATATTTGGTCGCTTAGATTTTAGGTAGCATTTAGTTGAGAGTCAAGGTGGAGTGGAATGGTTTCGTCTGTCTCTATAATTTTAAAGGTCCTTGGGCAAGCATGATCGTAAGGGCCTGTTAAACTAATCTTTTTAATATAACAATTAAAGTATATAGTATGAAAAACTTAACTTTCATTATGTGTTTAGTTAAAAATGATAGTACAACCAATGAACTATAAGAACAATAAAATAACTATTATGATTGCCTTGAATAAAACAATAATGCTTTAGTACTTTATAAAAAACCATCTTCGAGCATTTCTTGATGTAAAATCTTTTAAATTTCATGATGCAAAATCTATAAGAACAATATCAATCAGAAATAGGAAAAGACGTTGCCCTCAAAACTCACATGGGCTATTGTGCTAAATATATGGATCTTGAAAAGCTTATTATAATGGCTATATATATCTAGTACATACATGTATACTCAGGGCCCCCTAACAGCTTGGGCCCTGGACAGTCGCACCTCTAGCTCTCCCCTTAGAGACGGCTCTGCCCGTCTATGATTTATGGGACGGGATGGGGATGGAACTGCTCCATTTTGTGTTTGGTAGATAAGGGACGTGATCGACCATTTTGTGTTTGGTTGAAAGGATAAATATGAATGGGATGGATGGCGGATTTGATGCCGTTAGCTACTGTTTTAGTGGGACCTAGATGTTAATCTCTTTTTTATATAAAAATCCTCTGGACCCTTTCGTTTGACGTTTGCAAAGACCATTGACACAATTAGGCACTGTCAGATGTGGGCCCACTGGACAGCCTCCCATATCTATCTTCTTCCCTACTCTCATCATCATCCAGCACCATGTCGTCCAGCACCCCTGGCCCGCCAACGGCTCCCCGCCTCAGCCGGCATGGCCCATCGCCGGATCCTCGTCCAGCAGGCACAGCACGCCTTCTGCCCGGAGTCGCTCTTCTTCCACTTCCTCGCCGCGGAGGGTGGCGGCGCGCCGGCCGTTGTCGAGCTTCCAGCCGCCGTGGAGCTCCGGTCTCCGTGTCCGTGTGCGTCGTGCTTGAGGCGTCGCTCAACTGCGTGCGGAACCAGATCTCGCTGGGGGAGGATGAATCATGAGCTCGCCGGCCACAGGGGGAGAAGGAAGAACACTGCCAGAGGAGAGGAAGAAGAATGTTGTCGGGGGAGAGAGAAAGGAATTGCGGAGACGGCTTGGGTGAGATTGTGAGACGACGTTGATGGGTTGACTCTGCCCGTCGTTTTTGTTGGGACACGCATCACCCCTGGTTCGAGAGAATATTCCATGAATATTTCCTAGGTGGGATATCTCACTTTCTAGTGACTCCCAATCAAACATCTCTAAAACTGGATCCGTTCCATCCCATCTCATCTCATCTCACCAACCAAACACTAGCTTACATTTGCTCCTCCTATGTGAGTTTTCAGATAAGTACACATACACGTTCTTCTGTTGAGCGTATCATTTTTGGATCATGGGAATAACATCATCGCTTCCAAAATGAGAACTGAACTTGGACGCCAGGAGGAGCTCCTCTGTTATCCTTTGATTGATCAAGGTTAATTTGCCATATCTCACTTCACTAACCGTAAGTCCGTAACTTACTAGTAGTAGTACCATTTCTTTTTGGTTTACATTACAGAGAGCTAACACTGCTTTTCTGCGCATTATTTATGCAAACAAGTCGGTTGTGTTTGGGCACAGTCAACCTTCGATGCTGACACCGGTTCCGGTTGCAGTTCCAGCTCCAGCTCCAGTTCTGGTTCCGGTGCTTTTTTAAAGATTGGAACACGCCCGTAGACGGGACGCCCGTAAACGAAGTTCTGTTTCTTGTTTCTGAGAACTTGGGCGCCCGTACACGATCCTCAAAATTTTCCGTCAAGCTTTCCCCGTCCGGACTACTCATCAATCAAAGGATAAACGCGCAATAACCTTGATCAGAATCTTCTTTTAAAACGAACCGTGGAACCAGAACCGGAACCGGAGCATGTCCAGTTGCCTTCGTCACAATAACAACCGTGTTGCTCTGTTCCTGCTAATGACCATTCAGACGGAAACATAAGTTAAACACGAGCAACGTACTGCTGTATAACAGAGTGCAGCATTTGTGCCTAGTCTAGAGACATGCAAACACAAGAAGATCCACCACTTCACAACCAGAATCTTGTTACCATGAATAATGATCACAGCACGGTAACCCAAATTAATCTTTCCTCGAACAAAAAATCAGAAAAAATAACTCAAACCAATCTCTTACGTACATACACATATATGACACTCCAAAATGGGCAAAAACACCTGCAAACCTCATGCATGTTTCATACGAACACAACTAATAAATTCCTTCAGGTACAATCATACAACATACAAGTATGCCAACAGAAAAATGTTGAATCCCAACATACATACAAGGTGTCTGAGACTACTTTTTGAGCATGACGAAGCCGATGAGTATCCCAAACACAGGGATGAGGGTGAGCGTGGAAGCGCAGAGGAGAGCCATGCCAATGCCATGCCGGTTCTCGAGGCGGCGCGCGACCCAGAAAGAAGCAGAGGCCGTCGCAGAGCCCACGATCACACCGGCCACAAGGACGCCGTAATACACGAAGACGACCGCGCTGCCGTGGTGGGAGAAGATGCCTTCGGGAGTAGTCCTGTAGAAGAAGAGCGCGAGGGCCGCCACCGCTTGGAAGACGCCGACGGTGAGCATCGCCGACGGCACCATCGTCCTGCTGCGGAGGGCGGCGGAGGCGGAGTCCACGACCCTCGTGAGCGCGGCTTCGGGGTCCATGGATCAATTCTCTATGTCCTGGCTAGTAGCTAGAAGCAGTAGTGTGTGCTGGCAGCAGCAATGGCGCTTGAGCTTGAGCTTGGGAATGGCAAGAGGTTGAAGATTGAGCGAGGCCCTGCTGCATTCGCCGTGGGAGATAAATAGATGCCGAGTCTACTTTGACGACGCGTGACCGAGGAACTGGAACCGGAACCGGAACCGGGAGGAACTCGGGTGCTATATTTGTCCGCCGTCGTGCGATGGAACTCAAGTGCGCTGATAGTGATAGGTCCATTTCAACAACCACCAATCCTCCATGGTACTGCAAAGGTGCAAGCCGACGTGGATTCGGAACCGGAACCGGAACCAGTGTGCTGATGAGTGATGAGCTCCACGGCGATGGATGATTCATCCATGTGACCGACCCAAGTCCGGTTGTCAGCTCTTGCTCGTTTCTGGTGCAGAAGCCAGAAGGAAAGGGCCGGCTGACCGTGCGCACTGCCCGGCCACCACACGGCTCGGCCTGCGTCTGATTGTGCTCGTGAGCTCTGACAGTGACGGTCTGACGGAGGAACACAAATGAACGCGTGACGGTCTGACGGAGGAACTGGAGCGGGACTTGGAACCGGAACCGGGTGTCACAGTCCTGAGCTCTGCCGTACGCTAGGAGTGCAGCCCGGGAGACCCATCTCTCTGGTACAGTTCAGTCTCTTACTAGTATGCCACATAGATTTTTTTTTTAAATGTCAGACAGAGGGAAAAGACTAGCTAGCTTGATGGTTGCCCACGTAGCTGATTTTGACTGACCGCCAAGTAACACGTGTGGAACCGGAACCGGTGTCCTAGTGCTGCGTCTGCTGTCTTTTGCTGCCCAGAGGCAAAGCCAAAGGTAGACCTCAGGCGCTGATAGAAAACTATTGTCCGCCCTTGTCCGATCCAACAGAACGGAACTCAGGTGCGCCGATAGGTCCCATTTCAACAACCACAGTGCTACTGGAAGTCTGGAAGCCGACGTGGCACCGGCACCGGATCTAGTGACTCTATGGTCGACCAATGGATAGCTCTTGAAATTTCGTTCTCGTTTTTTTTTTGTGAACAATTTCGTTCTCGTTTCTGGTCCAGAAGGAAAGGGCTGACCTTGCCCAGCCACCACGGCTTGGCCTGCTTTTGTTTGTGCTCGGCGGATGCCCAGGTGCAGAAAGGAGGAGGACCGCAGGAGACACCGAGGCGAAGATAACAGCGTAAAAGCGAAGACAGAGATGCAATATTTGTAACATATGTTTAAAGGTAGATAAAACATATGAAACATACATCTGAAACACTAGCTGTAATACCAGATCTACTTTTGAAACATCCAGATAAAACACTTGCAACATACGTGACGAAACATCTAAAACACTCAAAACATACGTATAAAACACTTGAAAAAAACACCTAAAAACACTTTCATATGTGTGAAAACATATGCAACATCCGTCTGGAAAACGAGATGAAACATTTGGAACATACACTTGAAACATACGTATATAGTCACTGTAACATGTGCAACATTCGGACCAACTTTTGCAATATCAAGATGAGACACTTACAACATAGAGAGGAAACATTGAAACATACGCTTGCAATATGGGCTTTGCTTGGACGAATGGAGGCACGCCGGCGCGGGCGCATGGACCTCGCGTGCGGTAGCAGCACGAGCAACTCGCCGGCAGGCGCAGCGTCACACGAATCTCGTCCCCCTCGCCTATTTGCTGGAGCATCCGTCGTGGAGGCTCACCGGCTCGGTGGAGGCGGCTGCGGCTTGCTAGCTCGGTGGAGGCGGTCGCGGCGAACGGGCCGGCCGCGGCGAGGAGGCAGCGCCGTGGCAGGCTGGGCCCGCGCGGGGAATGCGGCGTGGGGGAGGCAGCGCAGAGGAGGCTGCATGGGATGGGCGCGCAATGCTGCGGGAGACCGGCGGCGGCGAGGCGAGGTGGGGTGGGCGGATGGGCACGGCTATGCATGGAGAAAATGGCGCAACGAGCATCGGAGCACGCGGACGGGACGAGTGGATGGGGTCGCTAGGTGAGCGGCGTGTGCGGAAGTGAGCGGAGGGAGGCGTCCGTCCATCCGCACGTCTTAATTGTATCGTAATAATAAACTTGTTGCTTTGTTCCGGCTAACGATGTTTTCAGACGCAAACAGCAAATTTAACAGGCAAGGCCAGCCAGCACGAGCCCGATCGAGCATGTGCTTGCACTTTCAGAGGGCACTTTCTATTTGTCCGTCGTTGTCTGATGGACCTCAGCCTCAGGTCCAGTTACCGGAACCAGAACCGGAACCGGAGCACCTCCAGTTGCCTTCGTCACAATAGCCTCGTTGCTCTGTTCCGGCTAATAACGATTCAGCTGCAAACAGCAAGCTAAACATGAGCGACGATACACCAAATGACTTCTCTAAAACCTTGTTACCTTGATTAATCATCACAGATTCACAGTACAGTAAAACTGAAATCGATCTTTCCTCAGGAAAAAAAACAAAATTACCCAAATCAATTTCTTGCGTACATTCAGTTCAAAAAAATCTCTGTCATACATACATATGACACCAAAAAATAATGGGCAAGCACCTGTGTAAACTTCGTGCATGTTTCATACAAACACAACTAATAAATTTCGGTACAACAATCATACAAGTATCAGCGATCCCAACACTGGCAACAAATACATACACAGGTGGCGTCTGAGACTACTTTCTGAGCATGACGAAGTCGGCTAGTATCCCGAACACAGGGATCAGCGTGAGTGTCGAAGCACGGAGCAGCGCCATGCCAATGGCATGCCGGCAGTCCAGGCGGCGTGCAACCCAGAAAGAAGCAGAGGCCGTCGTGGAGCCGATGATCGCCCCGGCAACGAGGACGATGTAGTACACGAAAACGGCCGCCTTGCCGTGGTGGGAGAAGATACCTTCGGGAGTCTTGGAGAAGAGGAGCGCGAGCGCCGCCACAGCTTGGAATACGCCGGCCGTGAGCATCGCCGACGGCACCATCGCCCTGCTGCGGAGCGCGCCGGAGGCAGAGTCCACGACGCTCGGGAGCGCGGCTTCGGGGTCCATTGATGATCGGTCTCTTGTGGCCTCGCTAGTCGCTAGCAGTAGTAGTAGCAGTGTGCCGCGGCAATGGCGATTGGCTTGAGCGTGGGAAATGGCAAGAGGTTGAAGATTTAGTGAGGCCCTGCTGCATTCGCCGAATAGCCGTGGGATATAAATAGACGCGTGCGTGACCCAGGAACTGGTACCGGAACCGGGGAGGAACCGGTAGTATGTCAGACAGAGAATTCCAAAGAAGGAAAAGGAACGTCAGGTAGGAGTAGAAAAATGGCTAGCTTGGAGGAATGCGAGAGGCACAAGATTGATCAGTGCTTGCCTACGTAGCTACTCCTACTTGGAAACTAGTTGCAACGCCAAAGTGCGCGCGCGTCCGAATCTTCAAAGCCAACCGTGGAACCGGAACCGGAACTGGAACCGCTGTCACTGAGTCACTGTGCTGTGTCTGTTGTCTTTTGGCTTCCCAGCGCCCAGCCACAGAGCAGCCAGCATGAAAGGTTAACGTCAGGCGCGGATAATAGAAAGAAAACAGGCTATGTTTGTCCGCTGTCGTGCGATGGAACTCAGGTGCGATGACAGGTCCATTTCAACAACGACCAAGGAGTCCGTGGTACTGCAACTGCAAGATGAAAAGCCGACGACCGACGTGGATCTGGAACTGGAACCGGATGCCGATGCATGGACTGTTTTTCATGTGTCCGACCCAACCCTGGCTATCAGCTCTTGAAATTTCGTGCCCGTTTCTGGTCCAGAAGGAAAGGGCTGACCGTGTCCAGAGTCCAGAAGGAAAGAGAAGCCTCTGTCAACTATCAAATGTTGCAAATTGAAATGTAATTATTATAAACTAGGCATTGCCACTCATCAAACAAAACGCAGTAGTTTATGGCTCTGGCCTCTCTGTGCCTTTGTCCTATGTGTAATTGTGCATCAAGCTAGGAGCATACAAGGCCACCAAGGGTCAGAGCCGCTCAGCCGCAGGGGGCTTGCCTGACTGAGAGCGACCTGGGTGGGCATGGTTAGCAGTTTAGCACGGGTAGCACCCAGCCCCAGCGCGAGCAAGCAACGTGCAGCAAGGGCGTTCCGGCGGGGCAGGCGGTCGCGGGCCATGGACGGCGGGCGGATCTGCCGGCGTGTGTCGATGTGCCCACTTCCTTGTCCCTGCATTCGTGTACTCCTAGATGGATTGGATGGACTGTTAGATCGTAGATTACCTCTGTGTAACCGTAGATCTGGGTAGGTGTTTCTCCACCATTCGGTCCACGGACGCCGATGTCATGGCAGTTCCAGCGTAGTGGTGGAGACGATGTCCAGTGACCCGGTGATGACCCTGCAGAGGCGGCGGCGGTGTGGTGGAGCTTCCCGTCGCTGGCAGCACTGCTTTAGATCGGTTTTGGTTTTCTCTGTAGGTGGGTACGGCGGCTCCGTTAAACCTCGTAGCGTGAGTCATGATCCCCACCTCTCTTTTATGTGCTGTGCGACAGGGGCCCACCAACCGTATTAGGGTTAGACGCCCCCGATCAGTGCGCAGATCTAAGGGTGGTAGAGATCAACCAACATTCCCCCCCTTGATCTCACTACTATCTTTCAATTTCATATCATTTACTTTTGTTCATTCCATTACAGATTAGCGCATAGAGCATGTTTCATCGTTACGGTCCATTGTCGATAGATTTAACAGCTACAACACACTACTCTGTTCTGAAATAGATACTTATCTCGGTGAGGAACTACATTTGTGTATACTAAATTTCTTTACTATTCTTTCTATGTATGCCTTTTGTGACAGTCCTAATACCCCTTTACTTTTATCTCGGTGAATCTCGATTTCTAGAACGAACGAAGGTTCACCAAGATCTTTCATATCAAATTTTGAGGACAAAACTTATTTGTTTCCAGTAGTAGACTGACATCACTACTAGCAAGTAAGATATCATCCACAT